ATACACTAGCTTACGTTTATTTAGCACGATTCACTTTAGATCACACCCAAGGCTTCGTTATCCCTAATCCCGCCTTTAAACCCGCAATTATAGATTCCTCTAATAATCTAGGAGTGGTGTTGTTCAACAATACCCTAAATATGCACTCTTTTCCAAGTTATGCACACTAAATAGGCACAGCTAATTGAGGATCCTGTCAATTAACTACAACAAACACGAAGTTGAACAAATAGAGATTAAACTAGCAATTTGTATTCACATAAACAAGAAGTTCATCACCCAATAGGTTCCATCAAAACCTTAGACAAGGAATTTAGCTACTCATGGCTATGGGAAAATAAACTAAGATTAAATTCATCATAAAAATCAAAAGAAAAGGAGAAAGATGGTTGGAGTATTCTCTCACAATGGTTTTCCTTGCTAAGAAACCTTAAAAATCAATACATGCCTCTCTTGGGCGAAGTCTAATGTTTTAAATAGGGTTTAGGTCTAAAATCCCGTATTTGACACTTTGACCCCTGAAGTTTTCGCGCCTGCCGCGGTTCTGCCGTGGTCGCGGTAGAACCGCGGCCAATCACCCTCGCGGAATCACTGAAGTTCTGCAGCTGCTTTCCACTGCGGTTCTGCCGCGGTCGCGGTAGAATCGCGGCCAAACCAGTTCTCTGAATTCTAAGGGCTGGCAGGGCATGGCTTCATTGGGAATTTACATATTTGGCCTCTTTTCTCCAATTTTTGACTCCAAAACTGCTCCTTAGCCTTCCTTGTACACATATCACCTGCAAATCATGAAAAGCACTAATAAGAGCATTTTGTTATCACTTTTAGCATTAAAACTACACAAGAAGGTGATTATTTACGGTGTGATTATAGTCAAATTCACCTATTATCAAATATCGGTGGCACTCTTTTGTCACACAGGACTCCAGATGCTAACCTCCATTTCATCCACCCCGCCCCTATATGGTATGTGTCATTCTCGTCGATCTCCCTATTCCCTTGGATAACCGACCCAAGGTACTTGAACTGATTCTCTTGAGGATGACTTGCAATTCAAGCCTCACATCCATGCCCACTTCCCTCGTCTACTTGCTGAACTTGCACCCCAGATATTCTGTCTTAGTCCCGCTCAACTTAAAACCCTTAGAATCAGGGGCCTACCTCCAGCCTCTCATTAATGCCACCTCGCATCTCATCAATCAGAACTATGTCATCAACGAATAACATATACCATGGTACCTCCCCTTGAATATGGTGTGTCAGTGCATCCATCACTAGGGTGAATAAGAACGGGTTGAACGCAGATCCTTAGTGTAACCCTATAACCACAGAAAAATGCTTCGAATCGCCTCCCACTGTCCTAACTTGAGTTTTGGCTCCATCGTACATGTCCTTCAAAAGTGATGCATCTAAAAGTTAAAAGTTATGAATTCTAAATTGAGAGAATGAGTTCTCAAATATATATCTAATTCCTTATTTGTTTTTCACACACATATATGTACTAACATACTACATGAGGGGTAGTAAGTTAGCAAGGTACCCATTTTGTGTTTGTCCAAATTTCCCTTAATAATACTTTCATAATGGGTTAAAGTGAGGGGTTGTTTTAGTCGAAAAGATATGTGACCATAACAAAGGGATTAAGTGGAACAGAGTTGACTGAGTAATAGAGTTGTGGAAATGCTATTTCTTTAAATTTTGGATCTTAGCTCTGTGGAAGAATATGTTACAGCTAAAACACGAAATAATTAAAATCTTAGATCAGAACAAAAATAAATGGAAGAAATGGGGTTAATATTGGTACAATCTGATATGTTATCAGAATGCAATCCTAATCCCGATAAAATTATTTTTTTTCCATATAGATTTCACCCGGTTAGATTCTTAGAAAATGTCAAATCCACAAAAGAAGTACATGCTTCTTTTGTTGATTTGAAGCCCGTACTTCTTGATTGCTTGATCCAAGATGTTGATTTGAAGCGAGTACTTAGAGGGTGTTTAGATTGGCTTACTTTAAGTGCTTATTGGCTTTTAAACAGTTTTTTTAGTTTGTATGGTGTTTGACAATGATAAAAAGTGTTTAAAAGCACTTACTTTTTGGCATAAAAAGTACAAAAATAAGCCAAAAGCCAAAAGTTGGGTATTACCAACTTATGACTTTTGGCTTTTAGCTTAGTTGTACTTTTTATAAGCCAATCCAAACACTCCTTAATTTGGTCCGCATCTGCCTCAAAACATCAAAGTTAATTCATTAACTGGTCATTCAAGTACTGAAAATATTATTATCCGCCTGTATTTGCTATTTCAGTTTTTGATAGGGATGGGATAGGCACTGCGTGGCCTAGACAAATCTCTTGTTGTAATGACTACTAAGTTTATGTTTTAAATAAATGTCTTTATTTACCAAAAAAAAAAGTACTGAAAATTACTCAACAAAGTTTTTATTTATTTTACGACAAGAAAATCATTGGACTATATTTTTATTACTAAGAAAATTAAAACACACCAGAAAGTCTGTTAATCTCACCAATATCTTAACTTAGTGTTAAGATCCATTTTTAATTGTATGACCCATTTAACTCAAAATACACTAGAGTTATAATTTGAAAAGGTCATTAAATAAACGGATTTAAAAATAAAATAAAAATAAAATAAAATAAAGCCAATGCATTACCATCAACATACGAGAAAACTTAATAAAGCCAATGCATTACCATCAACATACGAGAAAACTTTGGAGTAACTAATTCAACAACTTAAGGGATGAGCTGCAAATACTCACTATAGTAATCACAAGATCTTCAAATGCAAGTTTCTAATCCTTTTGGAAAATCAACTCTATATACTCTATACGTCTATATCCAATTCATGATCTCATTGACAAAAAAACGCGATAATGAACCGCGTTTTATATACTTGTCTTATCAGTTGCAATCTAAATCGCGGTCTGTTACAACGTTCTATATAAAACGCGGTATTAAACCGCTTTTTATATAGAAATGTAACTTTTTTTTTACACTTAAAAAATTGTTTTGAGTCCAAAAGAACCACGCATTTCGGTTCTGGACTCCCCCAACGACCCTTCAACTCTATATACTCTATACGTCTATATCCAATTCATGATCTCGTTGAGAAAAAAAAACGAAAACTCACAAAGGAATTGGCTCAAAACATCAAGGACAGTTGACTTTCAATAGCCAATAAGGCTACCTTTGTAGAATTTCAATGATTGTAGGGATACAGCCTGGAATTTAGGCGATTACAAACATAAAAATAATTTATGTCACAGTCTAACTAATTATATATTTGGTTAGTTGGAGCTTACATTGTTTAAGGTAGAAGAATATTGCCGTCTAAGTCGTTGCTTTATCTTCAATTCGTACATATAATAAAACTTCTTATGATTATAAATTCAAGCTAGTAGCTAAGCCTTATCATCAAGAACAAGACTAGTAGCATTTTTTATGCATACGCACGAAGACTTTCGTAAAGTTCGTGAAGTACATTTACCAACTCCTGTAGTTGCACCAATCCACTGAGCTTCAACCTTTTGTCAGTTCGATTCGTTCCTCCTCTCAAATCCATTCAATTCATCAAAACATTTATGTACAACTCTTTTTCCTTCAATCGACAAATGGTACAATTTATGTCTTCTAAAATGAACTCTATTTCCCTCTTTATCACCTTCTTTCTAATTCCGTTTGTAAATTCAGTCTACTTTAAAATACCATGTTTTGGTCCGGACGTGACTGATATACTCTGTGAAGGAGATGCAGTTGCTTCTATAGGAGAGATTGAGTTTAACAAAGTTACTTATCTTTGTCGCGCTGCACATGCTATATATAGAGAGAAAGTACCAATTTGGGATCCAGACTCTATTAAACTTGCTGATTTCTCGACACATTTTTTGTTCACTATCGATACCCTAAATCGTTCTTTGTATGGTCATGGCATTGCATTTTTCCTCGCTCCGGTTGGTTTTCAGATTCCACCTAACTCAGATGGTGGTTTTCTTGGACTGTTCAATACTACCACCAGTGATTCAGCTCAAAACCAAATTGTTGTTGTTGAGTTCGACTCGTTTTCCAACCCTGAATGGGATCCTCCATTCGAACATGTTGGTATAAACAAAGATTCTATTGCTTCATCTGTGACAGCTCCTTGGAATGTTAGTTTACATAGTGGAGATCCTATCGATGCATGGATTACTTACAATTCTACGACAAATAATCTAAGTGTCTTTTGGAACTATGGAAAAGGCTCCAATTCCAGCATATCTTATATAATAAACCTTAGAGAGGTTTTGCCTTCGTGGATAACGATAGGATTCTCTGCTGCAACAGGTACAAATGTTGAAAGACATACACTTGAATCGTGGGAGTTCAGCTCGAGTCTTGATATAACAGAGTTAGGGGGAAATGGTCGCAGAAAGATTGGATTGATTGCAGGGTTAACAGCATTAGGAGGAGTTTTGTTTGTGAGCGCGATTTTGGCTTTAGTAATATTGAGGAAATGGAGACGACAAAAGATGAAGAAAAATCCAGAGACTATAAGCTTAACATCTTTCAATGATGATCTTGAAAAGGGAGCAGGTCCGAAAAAGTTTTCTTACGAAGAGCTGGATACTTCAACGAATCACTTCTCAGAGGAAAGAAAGTTAGGCGAAGGAGGATTTGGAGAAGTATATAAAGGTTACCTCATAGATCTTGATATCGCGATTGCTGTGAAGAAGATCTCGAGAGGGTCTAAGCAGGGAAAGAAGGAATACATAACCGAGGTGAAGGTTATAAGTCGGTTAAGACACAGAAATCTTGTGCAGCTAATTGGTTGGTGTCATGACCAAGGTAAGTTCTTACTTGTCTACGAATTCATGCCAAATCGTAGCTTAGATTGTCACTTATTTGGTAAGAGCAATCCTCTTAGTTGGAGTACGAGGTATAAGATATCACTCGGATTAGCATCCGCCTTGCTCTATCTACACGAAGAATGGGAGCAGTGTGTGATCCACAGAGATATCAAATCGAGTAATGTAATGCTCGATTCAAGTTTTAATGTCAAGCTCGGTGATTTTGGTTTAGCTAGACTAATGGACCATGAATTAGGTCCTCAGACTACAGGACTGGCTGGAACTTTAGGTTATTTGGCTCCTGAATACATAAAAACAGGCCGAGCAAGTAAAGAGTCAGACGTATACAGCTTCGGAATAGTTGCACTAGAAATTGCAACTGGAAGAAAATCAGTTGATCCGGGGACGGGGAAATCTGATGCAGGGTTAGTGGAGTATGTTTGGGAGCTTTATGGTAAAGGACAACTTCTTTCTGCTGTTGATGAGAAATTAAACCTGGATTTTGACGCGAAACAAGTAATTACCGGGTTATGGTGTGCTCATCCGGAGAGCAATCTGAGGCCGTCTATAAGACAAGCAATTCATGTTCTGAATTTTGAGGCATCATTGCCTAATATACCAATAAAGATGCCAGTTCCTGTGTATTATTTACCTAGTTCTGGTGGACTAGGAGTTAGCTCAGGGGAGCATACAATGACTTACACGAGCATTGATGTGGGTCGTTAATTATTTGCAAATATTATGATATTGGTCCGAGATGAGCTTAATTTGCTTGACATTGTGGCATAGTATTAGTAGTAGTTTTTGTTGTTGTATTATCTTGTATAGTCCAGTGGCTTGTAAATCTTGTGAATGTACAAATAATAAAAGCTTTCATGTAACATTGGGTGTAAGATTGTGAAAGTTTTTTTTAAGTTGCGAATGAATATAAGGCAAATTCATTGAGAAATATAAGCTCTTGTTTGGCCATAGATTTTGGCTACTTTTTTTCCACAAACAAAATTGAAAATATTATTTGTTCATGGAATATGATCATTTTTTTGGAAAAAATTTGAAATCTTTTAAGTTCCCAAAATCTGGTTTAGTACAGTTTTTGGGTCAAAACTTCTCTTCCACTCACAAAACTAACTTTTTTTCAATTAAGAGATTTTTTCCTTCCTATACCATATATGAAACTTTATTACCAAATACCAAATATGTGCATAGTTTCTAATTTACCCGCTATGTTCACAGTTTTTCTACAATTATTATACCATTCATTAAATACTAATTATTAGTAGCTGAATCTTCCTAATTAGGCGCGCTACAAATCAGGAACAGAATATTCTAATTGATTTAGCGACCTTCAGATCAAATTTGAAACGCAAATCCTATATCTTCAATTTAAAATCAAATTACATAGACTCTTTTCTGCAAAAACTCTATTCTTCGATATTTTTCCTTAAGCCACAAATCAAAAAAGACAAAATCGTCAACAAATTCGAATCAAATTGTAGAAATTAGTTCTGCAAAAGCTCAGTTCGTCGACATTCTCTCTACATCTCTCTCTATTTCTCAATCTCAAATTTCAGTAATACAAAGCAAATGAAAAGAGAGCAGCAATTCCACCATTGACAGCCATTAAAAAGCTTGAAAGCTTTGAATTCAAATTTGAGTTTTCAAAAATCATTATTTGTTTGGATTGGGTGTTGTTGAAAATAATCGGGAATATGGTTTGGAGTTTATATCTCAATTTTGAGGGGTTTGGGTGAAGATTAGACTTGGTTTTGACTGAATTTCAGATTGAAACTCGAAGAAGAAGAAGAAGAAGAAGCAGAAAATAAAGAAATTGTAGATAAATTGTAGATTATTTGTATTCTGATTGTAGATGCTTTATTTTCTGTTTTCACAAATAAAAAACGTCTAAAACTTCTACAAATCTTCTGAAAAAATGCAATTATGTCAAAAATCCCAATTATGCTACAATTGAATGGGAATTGGGATATAAAAATTCAACGTACCCAGTTTGTAGATATTTTGTAGATAAATTATAGATTATTTGTATTCTAATTGTAGATGCTTTGTTTTATGTTTTCACAAATCAAAAACGACTAAAACTTCTACAAATCTTCTGCAAAAAACGCAATTATGTCGAAAATCCCAATTAAACTACAATCGAATGGGAATTGGGATATTAAAATTCAATATACCCAGTTTGTAGATATTTTGTAGATGAATTGTAGAATATTTGTATTCTGATTGTAGATGCAATATTTTCTGTTTCACAAATCCAAAACGACTAAAACTTCTATAAAATCTTCTGCAAAAACGCAATTATGTCAAAAATACCAATTAAGCTACAATTGAATGGGATTGTTGGCTGTTGAGGAGTAGTCAAACTTGGAAGACTTCATTTGATTGAATCTTTTCCTATGTGATCTCATACTTTAATATCATGATATATATCAAGTATAATCCTAATTCGTAAATGGTTCTTTGAGGTTTTTTAGACAGTCCCTACTATTTACCATTATTCCGTAAATGCATTTTCTTTCCCTCTTTCCCACTTATACATGTAGAATCTATTGTCTAATGGAGATTATTTTGTTACTTCTAGATTTTTATGTTTTTGATAGTATTAGACTATTAGATCTAAAGATTTCTAGTCCAGGATGGTAACCACACTGGTGTTTGCGAAGATGACTTTAACGACCTGGGAAAAACGAAGTGTTGGACTTGGAGCTGAACTGATGACTACATAAACCTAATGCTGCAAATCTATGTTTCCATAATCATAGGTTTTTATGTTTAATAACAGTACATAAACGTGGGTGAGGGTGAGGGTGAGGGTTTGGGAGAGAGAAACGTGGGAGGGGTGGGATATACTGCACCTTGAATTAAGGAGGGATATACGCTGCATTAATTGTACCCTTAAAATACACTATGGTACAGAATTGGTAATTTGGTATACTAAATGTAGTTATATTAAACATTAAACATTGAGGGTAATAAGGTTTCCTATATGATATAGGAATGTAAAAATTCCTTAAGTAAAATACATGTCCAAACACAACTTCAACTTTCAAAAATTATTTTTCAACACAACTTCAAAACTCTTTTTTCAAATTTCAACCAAATTTATATCCAAACGCTAGCTAAACATTTCCTACGATGGAGACTACTTTTTCTTTTATTCTTTCCAAGGGAAAGATGCAATATATTAGACCATAATACTAAAGATATTAAGCTCTCTTTCTCACGAGTTGAGAGTTGGCATTGATGTAACCTAATAGAAAAAGAAAATTAGGAAGGACAGATAATGAAAGGATATTCCTAGTACTCACAGTATTAAATTTGTAGATTAGATGATTCACCTCCTAGCTCGGCTTTGGATTAATAATCACATGATCCCCTGTACGAAGGCGGAGCCACGATTTGAAATTTATGGGTTCAATATTCTAATTCTTTTAAGTCACTGGGTTCTAAATCAATAATTTGTGCATAATTCAATAATTTTTTAAATTAAATATATGATTTGGACAAAAGTTATTGGGTTCAGCTGACCCGCAGGGCTAGCTCCGCCCCTGCCCCTGTATTCTATGCCCCGAAATCATTCCCGGTAGCCACTACATAGTTTCCACATGATCCCCTGTGTTAAAAATTCGTTGATATTATAATATACTAATATTAGGGTTCGCGCTTTGCGCGTGTACCTATATTAATGAATACACAAATTTTAAAAATTACATACATGTTATTAGATAAATTTGTTTGAGTTATGAAATATAATTTAAGATTTTTTAAAAATAATAAATATTATTCCCATTTAATTAGCTTAACAAATGAAGGAATTTTATTTAGATGCCTTCTTGTTATTTTGTCCGGACTTATGTCGAAACTAATGAAAATTGTTAATATTTACAATTTTTTAAAGATTTGTCAAATAACACAAATTAAAAATTAAATTTCTTGGTCTCTTAAAACTTTTGCGTACGAACAAAGTTGGCATTATACCTTCTAAGAATTTGATAATGACAATGTAAAGTTTAAAGAATGAGTAATATTGAACTAATATTTTACAAGAAAAAACTTAGTATAAAATTGTAGCGAGATGTTTTCCTTTGTTAGACTGAATGCAAAAAAGAAACAAATGACAACTCATTTATAATCTGGTTTCCTTCTACAATTTTACCTTATTGCTTAAAATTTGTTTTTCACCGATTTAAATATTTATTATTAACTATAATTAATTTTGCTATATTTTATGATTTCTTTTACTGTCGATATTCTTCTTACAAAAATAAAATTTATGTACTTTACGTGTTTTGTCAATTTAACGAAAAAAAAAATCTTATATGATAAATTGTATGAATTGGATGCATTTACTAATTAATTAATTCAACGACTTAATTATTTGTTCTTAACATTAAAATAAATAATTTAATTTTTATTAATTCAAATTTTGAATATTTGCTCTGTCACGACCCGGATTTCCCACCCTCGGGAGTCGTGATGGCGCCTACTCGTGAAAGCTAGGCAAGCCAACTATTAAGGTTTTAACCCATTAGCAAACAACCCAAACAAATATAAACAATAACTAAAGCTAAACAGATGAAAAGAGCGGAAGAGTTATAACAAATTCAAATTATCCAATACATGTCTACCCACGAATCTGGTGCCACAAATTCACGAACATCTATGAATTTCTACAAATACTGGTCTAGAAAGAAATGTACAACTGTTCTCGGAATGAAAGGAGACAGCAGAAAGCTAAAACAGGGAAGGGAGACTTTAGGCTCTGCGGACGCCAGCAGATCTACCTTGGTCTCCTTGGACTGAAGGCAGCTACCTCAGCTACTCACCGATTCCGGTGCGAAATCTGCACAAAAGAGTGCAGAGTGTAGCATCAATACAACCGACCCCATGTACTGAGTAAGTGTCGAGCCTAATCTCGGCGAAGTAGTGACGAGGCTAGGACACGACAACCATATAAACCTGTGCAGTTAAATCATATACAGCGGATAATAAAAACAGGAAATAACAGGTAAAGAGGGAAGGGAAGCATGCTGCGGGGAATACCAAATACTTAACAGAAAATTCAGTAGAGAAGCATAAAGAACACCATAATGATATCAATAGGAATAAGGAAAACAGTAACACGTGCACGGCATCCCCCTTCGTGCTTTTACTCTCGTCCTCACCATAAGAAGCAACAGAATCGGCACGACATCACCCTTCGTGCATTAACTCTCATAATCATGGCACGGCATCACACTTCATGCATTAACTCTCACAATATCGGCACGGCATCACCCTTCGTGCTTTTACTCTCATAATCATGGCACGATATCACCCTTCGTGCATTAACACTCACAATATTGGCACGGCATCACCTTTCGTGCTTTAACACTCACTCACAATATCATGCACGTCATCACCCTTCGTCCTTTATACTCTTCCTCACTCAAACAATAGAAACAATACATCCCGGCAAGGGAGTCAACAATATAAACAATAACCTCCCGGCAAGAGATTCAACAATATGAACAATAACATCCCGGCAAGGGAATCAGCTATAACCAATTTCGTTCTAACAGTTACTTCACAAAACAAATCCCAACTTGAGTCAATACTCAACAATGGTCAATTACCAAGGATTTAACATGAATTATGTTCAGCATTTATAATCATCAACCTATGCATGGACAATACACAATAGAGTCACAACAATCATGGTATAAGACTCACGGACATGCTTGACACCAACGTATAGATACTCGTCACCACACCTATACGTCGTACTCATGCTAACACATAGCAATTAAGACCACAACTCCTATTCCCTCAAGCTAAGGTTAGGCCAAACACTTACGTCGATTCCACGGACAAGATTAAGCCTCAACTACCGCTTTACCTCTCGGTTCCACTTCCAATCT